GCTCCAACTGGTTCGGGGAAAACAATTGCTGCAGAAATTGCTATATTTAGAGTATTTAAGCAGTATCCAATGCAAAAGATTGTATACATTGCACCATTAAAAGCTTTAGTTAGAGAACGAATAAAGGATTGGAAAGTTAGACTTGAAGAACAACTAGGAAGACAAGTGGTAGAACTAACTGGAGATGTATCACCAGATATTAAAGTTATAGCAAGTGCGAGCGTTATCGTAACTACACCAGAAAAGTGGGATGGTATTAGTAGAAGTTGGCAAACAAGAGCTTATGTCAAGGATGTTGCTCTTATTATTATAGACGAAATTCACTTATTAGGAGAAGATCGTGGCCCTGTATTGGAAGTTATTATTTCAAGAACCAATTTTATCTCTAGCCACACATCAAAAAAATTAAGAGTTATTGGACTTTCTACAGCATTAGCTAATGCAGTGGATTTAGCTAATTGGCTTGGTATCAAAGAAATGGGCCTTTACAATTTTCGTCCGTCTGTACGACCTGTACCGTTAGCAATTCATATACACGGGTTCCCGGGAAAAAATTATTGTCCTCGAATGGCAACAATGAATAGACCAACTTTTCAAGCGATTAAACAACATGCACCATCTAGTCCATCTTTAGTGTTTGTTTCATCACGCAGACAAACACGTTTAACTGCACTAGATTTAATTGCATACCTTGCGGCAGAAGATAATCCTAAACAATGGTTACATATGTGTGAGGAAGAAATGAACACTATTCTAGATCACGTACGAGACTCAAACTTAAAACTTACACTTGCATTTGGAATTGGGCTTCATCATGCTGGTCTTCAAGATAGAGATAGAATGATTGTTGAAGAATTATTTGTTAACAATAAAATTCAGGTATACATTTAAAATATTATATATATACAGAGTGGTTGGTAACTGGTGGTACAAGCGGAAAGGGGGTGATTCTACGCGAAAAAAGAAGTCAAAAATATAGAATAAAAATTTTTCGTTTGAGGCTTTGCTTTCGAGAAAATCGACTTTGAATTTTCACTCGGTATGCGTGCGGTATGTTATAACGGATCTCACTGTAGATCGAAAAATTAAAAAGAAAAAATTTTTGTTCCATATCTTCGACTTCTTTTTTCGCGTAGAATCACCCTCTTTCCGCTTGCACCACTAGTTACCAACCACCTGTATATATATATATATGCTACTTATAACGTTGTTTACATCCTCAATACTTAATCATTATATTGCATTGAAAAAGTAACTCCTTTTAACAAAGGAAAGATATTTCAAACATACCAAATTTGATAAAATATTTTATAAAGTCAACCAATTAGTACCTACTAAAATAAAATAAAATAAAAATATCATGTTTAGGTGTTGATTACAACAGCTACTTTAGCTTGGGGTGTCAATTTTCCTGCTCACTTGGTTGTAATAAAAGGAACAGAATATTATGATGGTAAACAACACCGTTATGTAGACATGCCTATTACAGATGTACTTCAAATGATAGGACGTGCAGGCAGACCCCAATTTGATACTGCAGGAGTGGCAGTGGTTCTAGTACATGACTTAAAAAAAAATTTTTATAAGAGATTTCTACATCAACCATTCCCAGTAGAATCAAGTTTACTAGCTGTTTTACCAGATCATATAAATGCTGAAATTGTGGCTGGTACAATTAAAAACAAACAAGAATTATTAGATTATTTAACCTGGACGTATTTTTTTAGAAGATTAATGAAAAATCCTAGATATTATGATCTAAATGCTTTAGAACCTAATACAATTAATCAGTACTTATCTTCTTTAGTGGACAGTACATTAAAAGTGTTGATAAATTCACATTGTGTGAAATTTGACCAGGTACATAGAATAGAATTAAAATTTTATTTCTAATTTGTTATACAAAGGATAATTTACAATATTTTTATTACTTCTAGGAAGAACAAATTTTATATCCACAATCAATGGGTAAAATAGCATCATTTTATTATTTATCACATCATACTATGTTAATGTTTGAGGAATCGTTACAAGAATTTCTAACATTAGAACAATGTTTACGTATTTTATGTAATTCTTATGAATATAATGAATTACCAGTAAGACATGACGAAGAATTATTAAATGAGTAAGTATCATCTTTACCAATAAACAAAAAAAAGTATTTCGAAAATTTTATTTTGTTCTAATATGTTTAATGTGTAAACAGGGAATTAAGCAAAATGTGTCGTTACCAAGTAGATAATTACTCATATGGTTCTCCACATACAAAAGCATTTTTATTACTTCAAGCACATTTTTCAAGACTTCCTTTACCATGTGTAGATTATATTACTGATTTAAAGTCAGTACTTGATCAATCAATTAGGATTGTTCAAGTATGTATAGTTAAAAGAAAACTATTATATCACTTTACATGTATTATAATTAAAATACTCTTTAATTAATATATATTTACTTTTAGGCAATGATAGATACAGTTGCAGAACATGGATGGTTAGCAAGTGCACTTATGATAATGAATTTGCTTCAGATGCTTATTCAAGCTCGATGGATTGATGAATTTGCAATTACTACATTGCCACATGTAAATTCAGAACATATACAATTATTTTCGGCGTTGTCATCATGTCTTCCAAAATTGTGCTTTATTATGCGCAACAAATATAGTACACTTGTAGAGGTGCTTGGTAAAGACTTTCAAGAAGAGCAAATATTTCAAGTAAGTAAATATATTAAACTTTTAACTTATAATATTGAAGGTAGATATATAAAATAAGAAATTATTAATTATCAATAATTTTAATTCTAGATACATCAAGTAATGAAAGAGATGCCAATGCTTCATGTCGAGTTAAGTATAGAAATGCACGATGAAGAACAGAGAAACCAGATGTTTATATCGCTAAAGACTGACAATTCTGATCATATAAATATTTGCAAGGATCAAGATTATATACTAAATATTACAATGAGAAGAAAAAATAAGTCTAATAAGTTGAAAGCACACTGCCCTTTGTTCCAAAAAGGAAAGGATGAAGGTTGGTTTCTGGTTTTAGGTAATACTTCTAACCTAGAATTATTAGCTCTAAAACGAGCATCTGGAATAAATGAACAACGCAAATATTATCAATTACAATTCACAGCACCATCAAATCTAGGTAATTTTATTTTTGTACATATTTATAATTTTTTATATAATATTTTATTACATATAATAATAACTTCCATTTTCCTTTTTTTCAACTAAAAATCTGATTTTTTTTTCAAGGACAAACAACTCTAGTGTTTTATTTGATATCCGATTGTTACATAGGACTGGATCAAGAATACAATATAAAACTAAATATAATATCTTAAAATATAAATTTTATTCCACTTAGTAAATATGTTAATTTTTTTTGAGGTAAATGTAAACAAATTGTTTTGTTAAAACTTATTGTTATGTTATTAATATTTATAAAATTATTTTAATAGCTGTAAGTACTGCAATGAAATATATATTTAAATTATAAATCTTTTCGAAATTTAATTTTTTTAAAAGGGTACATATAAATTTATATATATATATTTTTTATTTATTACACGACTATGAAACATATATATGGATTGTTTTATGTTTTTCATACAAATGCATATCTTATCAATTTAGTGTACAAAGATAAAAAAAGTAACATTCGAAGGACCAGTTTTATAATTTCACATATTATGGATCAATGAATTTAGTTTTAAATTCACTTTTAAAAGTAAAAAATAACAAAAGAAAATCATCCAATATTTCATGAATTATAAATCATACGTATAGTTTAATATGAAAATGTTTTCTTCTAACATTAGTATTTTATCAAAAGTAAAAGAATATCAATAATGGTATAATATATTGTGTAAACATTTTTCCACACTGATCCTCCTTTACATTTATATTATGATATTGTAACAATACAGTATTTGTTTGTAATTTCTTATGCTAACGAGGAATAACAAGATAGTAGGGTAGGAAGGATATGAGATCATTTCATTGCTTTGTTTTAAAGAGAACGTGATTAAGTTGTACACTATTTACCTGTCATATTTCACTTGATATTGATCAGTGCAGACTGTTCATTCTAATGACCTAGAAGAGGTACATTTTAATTCTAAAGTATTAGCATTATGCTTGTGTAAATCCCTGAGACAAATAATGCAATTTGTGACAAAGTATTTTCTATTCATTGATTTTATTAACATTTATTGTCTTAGTAATCAGAAATAAACGTCAAATGTTATTAAATTAAACTTAAAATAAAATTTTTAAATAAATAATAATTTTATATTAATAATATATGTTTTCAATTGACAACTAACAAAGTCAAATTTATCCATTGTAATAAACATTTTTCTATATTTAAAATATAATTCATAAATATTTTAATGCTTTAACATTTAATAGACAAAATATAATTATTTCGTTTTCGATATTTTTTTAGGTTACTTCTCTAAAACTTTAAATTAATAACATCAATCCAATATATTTTGTTATCTTATACAATTTTTAAAGATATAATAAAATCGACCAGATAAATTAATAGTTGAATATCTTCCTTTTTCTCTCTTTAGATTGAGTCTTTCCCTGTTCCATCAATAGATTGAACTTTCTGCATTTTTAGTGTATATGAAATGCACTTTATATATTATTATTTCTGTAATTGTAGTACTAATCAAAGCAAAGAAATACTTAAGCTCCTTCCATAATAGAAATTTGGAAGTACTGATTATTTCTTGTAAGTAATAAACCGAAATATTTTTAAAGCAAAAATTTGACGATAGTACATTTCTACTCATCACATTCATTGCAAATATTAATTCTTAATATTAATTCTTTCTCAAGCAATTGAGAAAATTTCACACGATATAGTAAATTGCAACTTGATTTTAAATGTCATTTTTCTCTTTAAATATAAAACAAATTTTTTAAAAATTATAATTAATGCATCTTTATGATTAATAGGTTATTACTGCCGTTTTTTTTTTTTAGTACTTTCTTTCTGCAAATCCTCTGAACAATAATAAAAGTGTATACTGTATCACTCAAGAACCAAGGAAGCACTGGCATAACTAACAGAACTATCATTCATATTATTGCACTGATTGCTTTGAGCATATTTAAGAAACTTCAAGTTCATTCTTTGGCCATTAGTATTCCCTTTTAAAGTGTGAATTGCCTGTTAAAATATTAATTATAATTTCAAAAATTGTATCTCATTTCATAAAGAATATTATTGTTACAATTTAATATAACTATATAAAATTTATTAGAGAAATCATTAATTCCAAATATTGAAGACTTATATGTATGTATAGTAGACTAAAAAATACATCAATATTTGACATTTTTTTAATGAAAGTAAAAATATACTTAGAATTTAAATAAATAAAAGCTATTACCTGTAAAAGAACACTAATAGGATGTCGGCCACATATTGTATTACCATATTTTTTAAGATAATCGGTAAACATTGTGGGATTTAATGTTTCTATAATGTCCATACCCTGTGAATTGTTATATAATACATAATAATATAAACAACTTTGAACATTCGAGTTTATAAGCAAGTATTTAAACATTTATTTAAATATATGAAATATTTGGAAATAAACAATGACATTATGCTTAGATTTTACATACCATTTTATCAAGATTTTGAATAGATCTATAAATGGGGCCACAGGATCTATCGTAATAGGTATAACGAAAACGCTGTCCCCAATGACAGAAATCCGAAGATATAACAAGTAATGTTTGTGGATCAGCCATATATGGTGCTAATAATCTTCCATAGAGTGCTTCTTTTTCTGGACTTAATGAACCCACTAGTATAGGAATTATTGTGAAAGAATCTTTAAACCTATATTGATATAAAATTTGAAACAGAAATGTATAATAAATGAAAATATAATAGTAATTATATATATAATAAATATAATAATAAACATACCCTTCCATAACTTTTGCAATAAATGGCAATTGCATTTCAATGCTATGTTCTTCTTCATCTGTGTTTAAATCCATCCACTCAAAATGTCTAGTCTCTTCAAGTTCTCTGTACACTGTCATATGAACAGAAGCTTATATTTGAACTAGTCCTTGATGATAATTCATATTTGGAATGTAATTAATTTTAATTTTGAATATAGAAATAATTTTATTTAAATTTGAATATTTTATGTTATAAAATTTATACCTTGCTGATCAATATGTAGATCATACAATGGAGTTTGATAAATCGATGCAGAAGAAAGAGCACAGCCTGCTAATCTGACATGATGTGATGGACCAAGAATAAAAATCCTGCGCCTATGTAATAATATACTTATGTTAATATATGTTTAACCTCCTATTTCAAATAAAAATATAAAAAATAAATAATTTTATTTTTGTACATAAACATAAAATTCATGTCAAAAATCAAGGAAAATAATGAATCAACAATATATTTATATAATTATTAGGAAATTACATGTATGCTGTTGATTGTTTCAATTATTTAAAGTTACTATTTTTGATAATATATACAAGAAAGACAAAATTGAGAAAAAATATATTTTCATGCTAAGTAAATTTTATTTAAAAGAATTTGAGCTACTGACTAAGCTAAACAAGTATGAGATATAAATAAAGATTTAGAAGTACAATATTTTTAAATGTCAAACCAGAAACTTTTTATATCAAATTGTATTATACTTTATAAAACATATATTACGTCATCCATCTAAACATTTTGTTATAAAATACTAAAAAAGGAATTCTTTAAAGAACTTACACTACAACAGGACTAATCTGGCGGTATGCAAAACCAGCACATGCTCCACAATAGCTGTAACCTGCATGTCTGTGAAATTTTGTTCGTATTTCAATAAAGATTCCTTAATCTAATTGAAAATTATTCTAATGTACTATAATTACTGACGGGGCAATTATTGCCCTAGCAGGTCCATGTGATAAGTCTGCTGCACCCAACCAACCTTCTAATTGTTTATTTAAGTCCAATCCTGTACAAAATATTCAATATATATATATATATATATATACATTTCATAAAAGATACAGTATTAATTACTAAAATCTAAATTTAATCATAGGTTTCCAAAATTATCAATGACAGTTTCAGGATATATAACAATGTAATTCCACAATAAAAATTTTTGCAGAAAAAGATATATTATAAAGTACATTTAACATACCATAATAAACTGTTTATTAATTTATGCTTTCTCCTTTATATCTGTCGTATAATACAAATGAACATTTCTTTTTTCATTTTTACGTATAAATTTATCCTATGTATATAGTAATATGAACATATACTTTGTTTAAAAGTGGACTACAATGTAAAAAAACGACATTTTTATAACCATGATTTATCGAAATATTACTTTACAAAATACCTACAATGTAATAGACTTAGTAAAATTATAACAATTATTATTAATAATCTTTACACGATTAAATATCAATTTAAATATTAGCACATCATTGTATTAAAAAATATCGAATATTAGATGCATAGACTTGTGGCTATTTGTCAACTTACTTGCCACAGAATATACAATGATGAATGTACACAAATGCAAAGAAAATATAAGAAATAATTCTCATAGAATTATAGGCAATTATTATTAAAACTAAACAAATGAAAAATATAATTTAAATATTGCTTACCAGAACCTGCGTACCAACTACCAGCATGAGTTGCTCTTCTAATTAATGCCATTTTTCACTTTATTACGCTAATTTTTATTTCCTCTATTCACTTTTTATAATAAATATCGTTCCACCGTATTTATATTTTTATAAATGATTTGTTTAGTGCACCGATGATTAATCCTACTTATATATAAAATGTTTATAAAACTAATCACAAAACTTAACTTTTACTTTGCCATGAACCATACGCTTTTAATAACGTTGTATAGTACATTGACACAAACTAAAAGAACATTTTTTAAATGTAATAAAACAAGAAATAGATATTTTAAAACCTACATACTAATCTCTTACAAATCTTAAAGAAAGATTTTTTTGTATTTCCTTTGCAATTAAACTAAATAACCAAAGTTTTTATATGTCAGAAGTTTAAAATACAAAATTTCACTGAGATACAGTAATTTCAGTGATAAATCAGAAATACCTTTTATTGTGGAAAAAAGATGATTGGTATGAAAGCATTTCAATTATTTTGAAATAAATAAAAGAGTATACAAGTGTAATTATATCTTCTCCATATATTAACTGAAACAAAAATATATAGAAAGTAAAACATAAATAATTAAAAAGAGAAGATAATGTGTGTATATACATATTAATATTTTCAATACATATATATATGTATCAGTAAAAAAGAAGTAAACAAACTTTTATATATAATTTTAATCTAAAACATGGTTTTTTATCTTTTTTGAAAATATATATCTGCAACTACACAGATGCAATTTTATTACTTTTAATTAATTAAAATGTAATAATTCATTGAAAAAGGTATATTTTCTACGATTATTTTCTGATAATAAATATTACTATTGTTTATCTTTATTTTATTTCAAGTAGGATAAAATATTGTATATTATGCATAGCATGTTTCTTATATTTTGATAATTTTACATTTCATATTTATTTAATTGTAATCTGATAAATAATAATCTCTATAATTTTTTGGAACGAATTGAATGTCTTGAAATCTGAGATTTTTCATTTTAATTGTTATATATATTTCACTAGAATTAATACTTTTCACAGAAAAATGTTTCGAATATAGAAAGAAATAATTATAATGTTACTTCAACGTATTTATTAGCCGATAAATTCGAATTCAGTTCTATTATATGCAAGATAGAAATTATATCCAAAGTATAATATTCTAGAGACCATGATAAATATTTCTGTAATCATATTCAAGATTAAAGTTTGTCTTTTTATTAAATTGTATTACACAATACCGATCATATTTTAATAACACAATTAATATTTTTAGCAAATGTCTGAATTACATTTAATCTATAGTCCTGATGGTAATCATTTTGGTATCTAATTTGAACATCATCGTAGAAATGGTTATAATGGCAGAAATTCATGTCTCTAGTGTTGTTTAAGTTTGTGAAACTGAGTGACAAAACAGATATCTATTTTGTTAAGAATATCGTAACGTGTATAAAAGTTTGATCTTTTGGGACTCTTCATGCAGAAATCTTTCTTCTAGTGGAAATACTAAATAACGAAACAACGTTCTCTGTATCATATACATTCGAAGTCAACATCGACGTTTTTGTGTTTTTTTTTATGCTCATTTACTTTGTTTATTATGAATTTGATGGATTTTTTCGTGCTATAACTTAACGACGGATTCAATAATATAGGTAATTAAATTTTATCTATTTTTTCATCAATATTTTGATTATATAGATCTTATAACCTTTTGCTTTCATTTGGTCGTTCTGATTTCTATTTTTTACAATATCAAGATCACCGATCGTTCGTTCAATGTTTTTTCCAAAATTCGTCAATTTTCTGTGTAGTGTAATATTAAGGTGCGATTGTAATATTAAGGTACTAACAAAATATTCAAGAGAGAAATTACTTAACTATTTTCGTTTTGTTATGTTATTATATTGTCACTTTTTGTAGCGACTAAAATAACAAGTTATTGCCATTAATAGTATTCTAATATTGTATTAGTTTTTCATCGTTATAGACGTGAAGATATGAAACATAGTTTAAAATAGTAATATTCAAATTAATTTGTAAGTATTTATAAAAATATGTACCTATATCTTAACAATTATAAGTTCTAGAATATCATACATTATATGGTATAAAAATCGTATTATTTATAACAAATTTTATAGAATATAAAAATCATATCATTTAAAATCATTATATTTTAGTTTTTAACATATAAATAAATGCTTATGAGAATTAATCTTTATAACAGTATTTTTTATAAAGGGAAGGTGACTTGTTTACAAAATGTAAAAATTTTTTTTAATGTTTAAATAAAACATAAAAGTAATATAATTTTCTTTAATAATATAATGTAATTTAATGTACGATTAGATATTTATATTAGTAAATTAAGAAGTTTGAACAAATATTTTATGTATAAGAATATGGATTATATGCATAATGTAAATTTTTTGAAGTAATGCTTAGATAGCATCTTCATGAAAATTAAATTCTTCACTTGCCAATAGGTTCATTCTCATTTTCCGTCTTCGATTTTGATATGACCATTGCCATGGTGCTGTGATAAACAGGTAAAAATTAAATAAGTACAATTGAAATTAAAAATTAAAACAAAGTGTTTGATATTAATTAATAACCTGTTACTTCTATGTCACAAATTTTTTGTCTTTACCTGGTCATTACAGGTTACTACTAGGAGTTATTGTCATGGACTATCTTCGATTCTATGAAATTAAACAAGTTACAAGTGATGCAATAGAAAACAAGTGATTGTGGTAATTGACATAAAAGAGTATTGGTGTGCCCTAGCAGGTATTTTGTAGTGGAGTCACCAGGCTATGGCTAACCTGAACTTTGAGCAACCACCACGCAGTATTGCGAACGCAAGCCTTATATCGCGCACAGGTGGTGGGGGGGGCTTAAATTCATCGACCCTTACGGGTCATGTCACACCTACCTCGAGCATGTTCTCAGGCTCATCTGCAAGCACTTCCAGTTCGGTTAACTCTGCGGTAGTAGTTACTAACGTTTATCCTGGAGCATCAGGAGCAGGCGGTGGACAAAGTAGTCATCAGTCTCAACAGCAACAGCTCTCTCCTATGGGCACCAGAGGACTGTTTGGACAGAGAGCTTTTACAGATAGACGTACAATGCCTGCTCTTGGGTTAGTTTCCCCATTCCATGTGTAGAACATAGGAATGTTGTCTGAATTTGTTATGGTTTTAATGTTAAAGTATTATCCATTATGATATTATATATTTTGTTGTATATCTATTATATGGTAATTCTATTTATAAAACAAATGAAAATATTAATATAAATTTATAGAACATCAAATCCAATGGCTAGCATGGGCACATTTGGAATACCTCAAAGTCGAAATTACGGATCTCAAATCAATAATTTTCACTCTGTTTTTGGCAGTGGAGGAGGTGGAGATACAAGTACTCCTCCATTGTTGGATCTATCTGAGTTTCCTTCATTAACAAACAGAGGACAGGGCGATTCTATGCCGCAACCTAGTCCTATGCCAGGCAAACAACCTTATGGTTTGAACACATAATAATTTAAATTTTAATATGTAAGTAAATATAATTTTTATATAAATATTTATAACAATTGTAGTTGGGATGGTAAAACAACCAACATCTGAATCAAGTGAGTTTACAATGAGTTCTGAGGATTTTCCAGCATTGCCTGGAACACAAAATAGAGAAGGGCCATCGCCAGGTGGAGGTGTTTCTGGAGATAAAAACATACCTGTTGGACTTGGTCCTGAAATTGGACAAGATATATTGCAGGCAAATAGAGCACCAGGGTCTGAGAAGTCCCAATTAACTAAAAGAGGTGTACAAATATTTCCTGACGGTATAATAGTTATCATTACAACTTATGTTTTTTTTTAATCATGCAATTACATATATATCTTTTTTTCAGGCAAGGTGCTTAATTTACCAACTAGTATGATACAGGACCAGTTTGGAGTAGTTGGTTTATTGACATTTATTAAGGCAGCTGATACAGATCAGAAGTTAGTATCTTTGGCATTAGGCTACGATTTAACTTCATTAGGATTAGATCTTGCTTCAGGAGATAGTATTCATCAAAATTTTGCCGGACCTTGGACAGAAAGAGCATGTCGACCTCAGGATATCGATTTTCACGTACCGCCAGAATACCTTATTAATGCAACCATCAGGTATTTTATTTTATTAATGTCGATTTTTATAAGTACGAATCATTATAGTAATTAAACTTGTACACTTTATTTTAGGGATAAGCTAGCACCAATTAAGCTAAATCGATACAAAGATGATCTACTATTTTATATGTTTTATACAAATATGGGGGATATGATGCAAATAGCAGCAGCAGCGGAGTTGTAAATACGTTTTTATATTAAAATTTTCGAATATTTTTTCTACTAGACTTTTAATAATATGTATGACTTTATTTGGAACATGAAGGTACACTAGAGAGTGGCGATATCATATGGAAGAAAAGGTTTGGATAACGCAAGCACCAGGATTGGGACTGGTAGAAAAAACATCAACATATGAACGCGGTACTTATTATTATTTTGATGCGCAAAGTTGGAGAAAAGTAGCAAAAGAATTTCATTTGGAATATACAAAACTAGAAAGTAGACCTATTCTTCCTGCGAACTTTCACCTATACCTGCCTTGACTACAGGTATCTACAAAGATACAATTCGTTTTCTTTTTTCAAATTACTTTCTAATTTGAATTTAGAAAAGATTGTAAGTATTTTTATTGAGAATTTGTATTTATTGCAGATCTGCTTGCAGACCATTGTACTGTCTTTAAGCTGGACAGGAAACAGCTATTGTATAAATGAACAAATTTAATAATCTTTAATAAAAACATAAAATTTGAAGAGTACAGAAATGAAGTTCTTTAATTACTGACTCAGTTAGAAATGGAAGTGAGTCTAATCTATTTGATATTGACATGATATTAATGATTTTGATACGTAAACCTATATGTTTTAAATGTTTAGGTGCTTATGTATAGAATGATATACTTTTTGATGATATTATAGTAATGATTAGGATTTTGGCAATGTATATAATAAAAGTAACAAACAGTTGTATTATTCAACAAAATTTTGACACTTAGGCAGCTCAAAATGTCCACAAATTCTGTACCCTATGTGATCATTTATTTTGTACCAATGTAATTGTTTAGAAATGTAAATGAAATGTTTTTTAAAAAGCGAATTTAGATTTTATAAAATGTCAGCAAATTAATATACTTTATTATTTATCAAAATTCATGAAATATATTACTATATAATGTAAATTTTTTAATGTAAAAAATGCCTTTGGACATAAAATATTTAATTAAAAATAGTAAGTAGTATGATATAAAAATGCCGTTGTTTAAAATTACAATTTATAAAATTTTTGGATCACTTAAATTGCTTTTAACAGAGTTTAGTTTTAATAAACTATAAATTATATAATACACTTAATCTTGTTGTATATATGAGTCAAAGATTTGAAAATGTAAAATAAAATTTATATTTAAAAAATACAAAACATAAACGTAAATATTAATAATATTAATTTTAATTTAATAATTTTTAAGTTAAATGTATTTCATTTCTAAATTTTCTGGTAATAGTGTGTGATTTAAAACGTGGTTAAGTTGGATAACAAATTAAGTACTTTTAAAAGAAGTTTTCATGCTATTTGATTAATTATTTCTATCCTTTTAAGTTCTTCCGGTTTTAATATTTCAATAATGTTCTTTGTCAAATCTTAGCTTTAATAAATAAATAACACTTGTTATCATAAATCTATAAAAATTTATTATGTACGACTCAATTCCATTTCTAGCTTATAATTGTACCATTATTTAAAATATATTTTCCTTTTATTCCGTTATTTATTACATAGACTTCTATTTATATATTTTTCACATTAAAAATATTCTTAGAAAAAGATTGAATAACTTCCTGTTTATAATCGTAAAATTTGTTTTATAATTTTTCGAACTGGTTAGCAAGATTAATTACATCTTCAGATGTGTTTATAAAATAATTTTCAATGTAATTTTGGCTGTTTTTTTCACATTCATCTAGGTAATATCTGTTGAAATGAATACTTAATTAAATATACAATACAGTAAATATATTAAATTAAATAAAGATATGGATTAAATTACCTATAGTTTACCATAATTCCACAGCTATTTTCAACACCACGTGGTGAAGGGTCAGCCAGCCAATTTATTCTCCACATAACAGCTCCATTACGAAGATGAAAGTTTGCTGTAATATAAAAAATGTTAGCTGTTTAGATTAATTTTTCCATGATATGTATAAAATTCGATTTATAACAATCAACCCACCAACATTATTTAAAGCATAATTTCGTCTCTTTTCCTTATATAAATACCATGCACATGCCCTAAGTAATGGCTTCTGCAAAATTTCGCATATTGCAATATCACGAGTCCATAATGAATTATTAAAAATTTTTTTTAAACCCAAAACAATATTTTCATTGTTTAAAACCTTTTGTATAGATTCATATTCTTCATTTGTAAACACATTATGTATATCTAAAAAGTATTTTATACCAAAGTATAATATTCTGGTGCTCAATCTTATATGGTTATATTAACATTAATAAATTTTATGACCATTTGAAATAAATTGCAATTACCTTGTTTTGTTTTTTCTAAAAACCAAGTTCTAAAATTAGGTATTGGTGATAAAGTAGATAATTCGGTTATCATAGGAAATTCTGATAACACTTGTTTTGCTACTTCTTTTATCAAATAATTACCAAGTTCAATACCCTAAAAAGAATTGCCTTTTGATTTGTATGTTATATAAATTTGCATTTTTAGATATTTATATACGTACTTGTAATCCTTTCTGTGTAGAAGTTATTGAATAAAATATTGCAGTCTTTATTTTGCATTTATCTTCTTCTAAAAATGTTACTTCTGTTTTTGGATTATCAAGAATTCTGACCTTCGCTTCTTCAATACCTCTTAAACTATCTATATGTTAATAACGTATTTTACTTTGTGTGTTTTTACTTAATGTATATTATTCATTATATTGTATTTAATTTTATGTGTAAAAGATATTTATTAAGATATACCTGGTATAATATCACATAATGCTGTATGCAATACAACAAGAGGTTCTCGTGGCATTGAAGGATGAGTAAAAATATAACATCTTCTATATGGTCCAACTCTTTGTTTCAAATCTAGCCAATTTCTTATGGGATGTATTGCTTCATAATCTGAAATCTTACGATTTTCAAATAATAAAGAATATAAAATATGTTATACTGTTTACTTGCCATTTGTATACCTTTTGTAGAATATCACATGAAGTTTGCCATGTTACTCTTTCTAAGTGTAGAAATCCTACTGAAAACCAGAGTAGTAATAAATCACGTAAGGTAATATTCAATTGCTGGATTGCAATACTTTCCTCTGTGTCTTTAGCTTTTAATATTAATTCCTAACAAATATATTTGTATAAAAATAAGTGATGTACCCTACTTATAATTTTGTATGTAAGATATTTTATTATATTTTTAGTGTAAAATTTATTGACTGCAGATTGTAAATCAATAATTAAATTTTAAGAAAATAACTATTTTTTGAAATATTTAGAACATTAAATATGAATTTTATATAGCATGAAGTAATTTTATCATTAAAATTGAAGTTATGTTATTTATATCATTTTAAATTGCTTACTAATATATCTGTCCTTAAATCAACAAGAAATTTTACACCATTTTGAAGTCTTCCAATTGTAATAAACAACCATTGGTAATCTGGTGTTAAAGCATTTTTTAAATTTCGTTCATAAGAAACTATACGTCTCTCATTGTTTGGCTGAAATAAAAGAAAAACAGAACAAAATAATTGCAAGTATTTTTTACTTATATTAATGCGATTTAAAAGTTTTTTTGGATTTTTAAGCTTTAATATCACAAAATTAAATATTTTATTTAACAAAAAATTAATAATATACAAACCTCTGTAGACACAAATTTTTCTGCTATATTGAATATAACAGGATGTTGAACAGCATATTTAAATGCTAAGATGCGCAAAATTTGTTCCTTGTCATTTTTGCTACTTTCTTGGTATGTACTACATAAAATACGAGCTTTGTTCTAAAATAAAATGTTAATTCTATTATATTATGCAATGATTTTATGTATGTTGCATAGAAATATTGTTAATTGAAACTTATAAATTAATATTTTTATTATTTGCAATTTATGTTAAATATTATATAAGTAACGATTTTGAGATAACGATTTTGGTTATGTAACTCAAAATAGATTATTTATTATAAATAATTTAACGAAAAGGTCAGATAATATATTATATTGGAAAATGTAATTTCAAAGATAAAATTACTTTTATTATTGTATTTATATTGTAAAACTTTAAAATAATACGACAATATAAGGTTATGTTATAACCTTACTCTATATATGATAGTACTATAAAATAAACGTAAGATAACATAATTTTTATTTATTTTAATTCGATATATATCATTGTTTTAAAAGATAATATGTGTGATATGCAAAAAAATACAAAATGTCATAAAATTTGAAGAATAAAATTTATATGTTTAACTTATTGGTTTATGTTAAATATGTTTGATGTTCATTTGTCAATTATTGTTAACCATTAAAGATCAAGTAACATTTACGAAATATTAAATAATAATTTATGTTACTAACCTCAACAATCCAATTACAAATATTGCTATTTTTAAATTTGAATACTCCTTTTAATTGATTTTCAAAAGAAATAGTTTCACTGGACGTAGAAGTATCATATAGATTCCGTATAAGAAAAGATCTGAAACTCTTTTGTGTTGTATTACCTTTTAAAATACATTTATTACTACAAATATCAACTAATGCTTTCACATGTGTACTTTTGAACATCATGTTTACTATTGACAAATATCATAAATCATGTAAAAAATACTTCAGTTACTTGAAATTACAAAACTAAACTTAGTTGAGTTTTTTTATAATAGAGATATTTTTATCTGATATGACATCCACACTTTGATATTAACATTCAGCTTAAAGGATAACAGTTAGATAGCATTAAAATATTGAGTACTTTTTATACGTAACATACATTAAGTAAAAAATTTAGCCTATCAGAAAGCTAAATGGTAATTTTTATTAATATGCAATAAACTAAGAAAGGATTTAAATAAATTTTTGCGATATATGAATAAAATCCTCGATCTGTTTGTCACTTTTATATTGATAAAGATGCACTCTTTTAATAACATTGATTATTTAATATATTGGAAAATTTAAATACAAGTTGTATAAAAAGAATGTCAGACAGTGTAACAAACAGAGCAAAATATGAAAGTTCTTTTGATAATAGTTTTTAATCTTTTCTCTATTGCTACTTTTCGTGATAGATACAACCGAAGGAAGGATTTCCTCTCTAACGTAACGTATTGTCAAAAAAGGTGTACAATGTGAAACAGTTGGCAATCATTAGTACTAAAATGGTGCTATAGTCGGAGACATTATGATACGTATTTAATTGCAGATCGATCAAAAACAAATTTTACTAAGCGTACATACTTTCAAAAATAAATGTGACCCTTTATCAACGTACAGAATGCAGATAGTGCATTTTTCTTGGGGTCTCATTTGGTATATTTTATCTACTTCTCAAGGTAATTTGACTATCTGTATTCTGTTTCATGTGACAGTTATTCAGTTTTGTAATTACACCTATTGTTATTATAATTTATGATAAGATTCAAACATTTTATTAGCTTTCTTTTGTGTTACAGTTAATGCTGATTATAACATTACATTAACACATGATGGCCCTGTAGTATTAGGTGGAACTATTACATTTAAAGCTGATATCTTTTATAATGGTATAAGACCATCAGAAACATTTAAATATAAATGGAGTGACAATGCATTAACTCCTCATATATATGAGGTTAGTTTCTTTTTATCCTATAATTTATTCAAAATAGTTTATCAATACATTTCAAAATTAGATTATCAATTGAATTGTAAACTTTGCCCTGAAAAGAGAAGTTTTATAAAAGTATAATTCCTTATGACGCGATATTAAATAAATTTAATTGCTCAAAAACCTTTTGTTACAGTTTTAATAAAAGAAAATCAGATTATTATATTATAATATGTTTCTTACATTTCAGTATTGTCATTTATAAAACCTTAATGTATAAAACCTTAAATACTAATTTTGAATACATATATAACTTTGACTTTTCATAGACAGGGGCTATATCAAATACAACAACATATTGGAATTTAAATATTGCCCATGAAAATTATACAATTGGAAAATATGAAGTTGAAGTAGTGGTTTATAAATATGTCGTGTTTTGGTGGCAGGATGTTACCAGTACCCGTACCGAGTTTTATGTGACTGGTAAGTTAAGAATTGTTAAAAATCATTTTATAATATATTAACTTTTTGTCTATTATGTATATCATCAAATTAATGTTTTAATAGAATCTTTCAATGGAGACATCAAAGTTATACAGCCCAACAAAACATCAATGGATACATATGTCTCTTCAGCATCTGAAGCAAACATGACAATAAATATAAGAAAAGGAGATATGGATTATTTGATGAAAGCCACATCAGTATCAATTTATTGGTTTATAGATTGCAGATATTTTGGTCAAACGAATGACTTAAATTTCCTCTATAATTTTACAACTCCCGATACATCACATGTGTTAGAAGCTTTGGTCGTTGCATCATACAATTCACCAACAACAACTGTTCCACCTACTACAACGGTTCTACCAGTAACAACAACAATTATTCCTTCTAGTATAACTGTGCCAAATGTTACAATATCAAATACTACAACAGAAGATGTGGTAACTACTACCATATCTAGTAAAAGCATAACTGCAAAACCAATATTAATATCTACAACAATACCTCTAAATAATTCAGAAAATGTCAGTATTTCCAATGTAAATATTTCTTTACCTTATATTTGTTCCAACTCTTCGATAATTCCACCAGATCCTAATAAAACATATGGGCACTTCACTAAAAAAATTGATGTTCGTGGTAAGTAATATATTGTATGAGATCATATAAAATAATGATTTATGTTCAGTATAAGTTATAATAATGTATATTTATGGAATTTCTAGCACCTATAATGAATATATCAGTAGAGGGTACAAATTGGATTCAACCATGGGATATGTTATCTCTTAATGTAACATGTAAAGGTTCAGGACCTTTTAATAAGTGCCTTTATTTTCATAGAGGGAAGTATAATGTTACGGGAAATGAAACATGCGATACAGAAGATAATCTTTATTCTTGTAATTTTTCCATCATACATTATTTCTTGGAACCCAGCATATATACAATATTAATTATATTAGATAATGATGTCAGTAAACAAATCTATCCCTTGACAATAAATATTTATAAAGGTATATGTTATAAATATTGATATCAATAATAATAATAATAATGATACAAATTTTGTCTTTCTACAAATATTAATTGCTTTGATTACATTTTTAAATGTGTTTTCTAGTGACAACAAAGCCACAATTATCAGTGATTGTGGTACCTGTTTCTTGTTCTCTTGCTGCTGCAGTACTCATTATTTTTGGCATTGCATATTACATACAAAGTAAAGCAAGATTTACAGTGGAAGTTGCAGATTTTGACTTTGGTCAAAATAATCCAGAAATGGAGTATAAAACATTTACAGAACGTTTAAGAGATTCGATTAATAACGCTATAAGACCAGGAAGCAAACGGATAAGTGTATGCCAGCCCTATTATGGCAGCATGAATCGCTAACAAGTACAGATTGTACAGACTACATATTCTTTGACTGTCCATGACAGTCTTCACACATTGCAAAATAATGTTAATATATTAGCGTCTAACACATAGTAGCGCCTCGATAGAATGACGATCATTCGTCAATTCTTATTACAGAATGATCATCCGAGTAATTGATATACGAGAAATGAAATTGATATTATTTCTTGAATCTCGAATCTTGATATTATTTCATTAGAATGTTATTGTCAGTGTATGGATTACGTTATTGTATCGATTATCATTCTATACTTTTATTATCTTCATTTTTAAGCACTAAACAATACGAGCTATTCTGCATTGCCATTATTGCTTTTGTATTGCCATTACTGCTTCTGCATTGCCATTACCGCTTCTAACATTTCTTTACTTTTCTTTCCTCCGTTTAAATACATGCTTTTATATGCACTTTATTATATTTATGAATTATTTATTGTTGTATTATATTGTTATATACAATGTGTCGAATTTCAATGGAAATAATTAAACATCACCTTTAATTTGCATTTCAATCAAACACGCTTTATGTTATTTTTGACATCATAAGGTAATGAATATTTTATAAATTTCAGGGTTACAAACCTCTTAGTAATTCTCAAACTATTCAGTGATGTTTAAAATGAAGAAAAAAGTATTGAAATTATCAAGTATTTGGATTAAAGACTATGGGAGATTGAACAAGTGAAGAAGATGCTAAACGAAATGAATTACAAGAAGAGTTTCAAAATTAATATATCTTACGACATTTTTAAGTATCAAATAATTTAATCAGGAAGTTATTAATATTATATCATTAATATTGCGAATTTATTCATTCCAAGGAATTTATAAACGAAATTAAAATTGTATATAGAATAAATAAATATTGTATATATAGGCTGTGTACATAGTATGCAATGAAATATTGCTTTTGATGTTTTGCGGAAATGAAGTTATAATATTAATTTATAATATTTTTTCTAGAATTTTAACATTGTGAAATTTCATGAAACACATTTTTTCTACTTTTAATGTGTTTAACTTCGGGTTACTGGATTCATGTACTACTTAACTCATTCATCACAAGAAAAATATTGGTAAGCACGTAATTATATAAGCATGTAGATTACATTACAAATTACAATTACAAAAGCGTGATAAACAAAAAGATATAATACTTATTTGAATGATACATCTTGTAATGCGAATTTTTCGTATATATATGTGCTTTTACACATATACATGCAATTTGCATATACGTATATAGTATTAAATTTAATTACCCAGATATATGAAAGTATTTCAGTAAGTTATTCAGCTAAAACTACTTATAAAAAAAATTGTTAATTTAGATTACGATTTCAATGATTCAGTTATAAAGTAACCTACTAAATAGTATTTAATAAATAAAAATGTTCTTGTAAAGAATTGGTGCTACTGTTATTTTCCATCATTTATTTATGCTTCTGTAATTTCAATAACGTTTAAACGAGGAAGGAAATTAAAAAATAACGCGGGTAACAGGTGGCACCATCTGTACACGATTATTGCGATCAAAAAATCTGCGTGTTCGTGAGTTCGTGAGAGTTCATTGGTAATATCGTTAGGGATTTAAGATGGCGGCTGATGAAGTAAACTTACGAAATTGTGCTCTGTTAAAAGTCGTTTGTGCTTTTGTCGTTTATTGAATATTGTCAGTTGATAGTTTCAATTCATCTTTATGTAATATCGATTTAAGATCTTCAACGAACGAAACGTGTCTCTCGAAAAAGTAAGATATAAACTTTTCCCGAGTCACGGGCTTACAATGTCAGTAATTGCCTCAAAGCCATGCCACGAGAAAGAGAATTTGAAATCGACGGAGGAGGACGATTGGAAAATGCAGCTTGCATTTTGCAAACCACGGCATACAGCGACAATTGAAGGCGTAAATTGCATTACACAGACATGGAGGATGAAAGAACGGGTTTGTTACTTTTTTTCTTTGCTTCTTTGGTTGATATACCCTGACAAATTATGTACTTAATTCTATGATAGAGTTTTATAAATTTCTATTTTCTAGATGAAAACTGTGAGCGTGGCTCTAGTTTTATGTTTAAACGTTGGTGTTGATCCACCGGACATTGTCAAGACGCAACCGTGCGCACGTCTCGAGTGTTGGATCGGTATTTATTTTAGTTTATTTACATCCCCACAATTCCCCGCTGCCATTGCCATTATGTAATGCATTTTGAGGTTATGCATGTGGATGACAGCAGTCTGTAAATGAATGCGATTTTAGTAAATAAGCTGTAGATGGCGTTATATTTATTATTAATTTGAATATTTTATCTGTAGTATGAGAATGTTTTTTTGCTTTCTTTCCTTTGTTTTTCTTTTACTGGTTATTTCAAATGTGCATAATTTCTTTTTTGTGATTGCATTATTTTATAGTTTTGTATAATTGTATAATTATAAACAAAAATTGCACTGGTTTTAATTATTCCATTCAAATGATCTAATTGTGACTTGAAACTTAATTGTTATTGATTACAATTAGAACAATTATAATTTTTAAAATTTTATAGATCCTTTGTCAGTGAGTCCACAGAAAGCTTTAGAAACTATAGGTTCTAATTTACAAAAACAGTATGAACGATGGCAACCAAGAGCTCGTTACAAACAAAGTTTAGACCCCACTGTTGAAGAAGTTAAAAAATTGTGTACTTCTTTGAGACGAAATGCAAAGGAGGAAAGAGTTCTTTTTCATTATAATGGTCATGGTGTTCCTAAACCTACTAGTAATGGTGAAATTTGGGTATTTAATAGAGTTAGTAAACTCAAGCATTTTAATTAGTATAAATAATAATTTGATAAATATTTTTAATATCACATTATTATTGCAGACATATACACAATATATTCCTTTGTCTGTATATGATTTGCAGACATGGATGGGTGCACCTAGCATCTATGTATATGACTGCTCCAATGCAGGTATTATTGTAGAGTCTTTTCAACAATTTGCAGAGCAACACGAGAAAGAATATGAGGTATAAATATTAAGAGAGATTTAAGTAAAAGTAATTGTCATATGTAACCATATTGAAAATGTTACCTTATAGATGGAAAAGCAGGCAGTTCAGCAGAATCGTGCAACTGGAGTTGCAAGTGCCACTGCACCATCCTATAAAAATTGTATCCAATTGGCAGCATGCGCTGCTAATCAAATCTTACCTATGAATCCAGACTTACCTGCAGACATATTTACATCATGTCTTACAACTCCAATAAAAATAGCATTGCGATGGTAAGATAGAAATATAATTTGTTGAAGATATACCAAATTTTGTATAGTACCAGAGTTAAACTACTATTTCTTTTGTAGGTTTGTCATGCAAAATACATCAAAGTTGGTACCAAAAATATCACTAGATTTAATTGACAAGTAAGAATTATATATAGTAGGGATAAGTTTATAGTACTTATGTATATAGTATTTTCTTGAACGAAATAAAATGTTGAAATTATGATAAATACATTTCAGAATTCCAGGACAATTGACTGATAGAAGAACAATGTTAGGGGAACTTAATTGGATTTTTACAGCAATTACTGACACTATTGCATGGAACACATTGCCAAGAGGTAAATTTGTATACTATAATTGTTGTTAGAATATATAAATGACAAATACTAAATATATTCGATTTATAGATTTATTTCAGAGATTATTCAGACAAGATTTATTAGTAGCTAGTTTATTTAGAAATTTCTTACTTGCTGAAAGAATACTTCGCTCATATGACTGCACTCCAGTTTCTTGCCCAAAATTACCACCTACTTATCAGGTAAATAGAAAAATATTTTAACCTTAATATTTTTCTAAAAATTAGGTATTTTTTTTATTTATTATTATTCTTTCATTAATATATTTATCTCTTATTAATTTAGCACCCTATGTGGCAGGCATGGGATTTGGCACTTGATCTCTGCTTAGCACAATTGCCATCTATTCTTGAAAATGAAGATCAATTTATACATTCACCTTTTTTTGAAGAACAATTGACAGCCTTTCAAGTATGGCTTACACTAGGTTCTAAAAATCGCAATCCTCCAGAGCAACTGCCAATAGTACTACAAGTGTTATTAAGTCAAGTTCATAGACTAAGAGCGTTAGAGTTATTAGGGCGTTTTCTTGATCTTGGTCCATGGGCAGTGAATTTGGCTCTTAGTGTAGGCATTTTTCCATATGTTTTAAAATTACTTCAAAGTAATGCCAGAGAACTACGTCCACTACTTGTTTTCATTTGGGCAAAGATTCTTGCAGTTGATAGTGTAAGTGTTAAGAATTTCAATATCTTAAACCTTTCATTAATTATTTATTATATTTTAGACTTGTCAAGCAGATCTTGTACGAGATGGAGGGCATAAATATTTTTTATCTGTTCTTCAGGATACTTCTATACCGGTATTATATTGTTATACATAATTTTATCGAAAAATTTTTTCATGCAACTTTTTTATACAAATCTATTCTGTTTTAGAGTGAACATAGGACGTTAGCAGCATTTGTTTTGGCTAGTATTGTAAATGACTATCGACCGGGTCAAGTAGCTGCAAATCATGGCAGTCTTGTCTCAATTTGTCTGGAACAACTTGGAGATTCAAATGCTTTATTACGACAATGGCTATGTTTGTGTCTCGCGAGACTTTGGCATAATTATGACAAAGCAAGATGGTGCGGAGTCAGAGACATTGCCCACGAAAAACTGTTTACATTATTACAGGACCCAGTTCCTGAGGTATAAAATCATTTCATGATGAGGTCAAATTCATTTATTTAATGTATTAATATTTATGCATGATGATAGTAATATATTTAAAAAAGAAATAAAATTATATAGGTTCGAGCGGCGAGTGTTTATGCTTTGGGAACATTCATAAATAGTGTAACAACACGAAGTGAACATGCGAATAATATTGATCAAATTATAGCTATGACGCTTATTAATACTGTGTCTCATGACATGTGTCCCTTAGTTAGAAAAGTATGTAAGTTTGTCGTATAACAATACATATTCTAATTATATACGTAATATTCTTAATATAAAACAAATTACGAATTATTTTACAGGAATTAGTAGTAGCACTTCAGTGGATGGTATTACATTTTGAAAATTCGTTTGTAACATTAGCATTGGCTGAAGAAAATAGTCGAAAAGATCTCGTAGTGGAGACGTTATCGCCATTTAGTGGAATGAGACGTATTAGTTCTAGAGATAGGTTGAAAATGCTTTCTCCGAACAACACATACAGTGTGGATAGTACAGATGGATTTGGTCAGGATCGTATTAAAAGAGTGTCGTCGTCGTCGTCTATTAGTAGCTTAGGTAAGTGATAAAATGTGTTGCTTTTAGCTAGAGTTACTAGCTTTATTGCCGGATTTTCGATAACAGTTCCTTGTATTGTTTCATTCATGTACCAGGAAATAATTGGGAGTTCGTGAGGAAACCTTGCGAGTCACTTGGTAATAATGATTGGAAATTCCATTGCATGTTCGTACATAGTTCATCCTTCATTTTTAGATCTCGTAATTTTTAATTTATAGCCAATGCTATATCACTATTTTGTTATTTACAAGCACATTATCGTAAGGAACAGATATTTTTCTATATTAAAAATAAAATACAATAAACCGTGTTTTTTATTACTTGTAGGGCACAGTTCTCTTGGAAATTTACCAAGTCTTTCCTATGGTAGTGTATATATGAAATTGTGGCATGGATTATGCAGTCTTGACAATGATCCTCATCCTGTGGTTGCTACTATGTCTCAGAAGGTCACAAATCATATTCGAAATCAGGTAAACACGATGATTTAATATTGATTACATTGATTTATATCAAAATTTAATGAAATAGTACAATATTTCTTAACTGCAGGTCAAAGAATCCTCTGCACCTAAGGAAGTAATTGAAACAAAAATATCTTCGTCACTGTCTCTTCCGCCTTCTCCATCAAATCGTACTACATATTTAAGGTTAGTCATTATTTAATATATTTTTATATATGATTTTTATACTGTTATGTTTAACATATTCTAAAATAAAGTAATAGCAAAGGAGAATCACCACCTACAGTAAACTCTGGAACAGATTTATTACGTTCGTCGAGAATACCATTGCATGGCAATCGTTCAAGAAAACCAATTCCCAATACAGTAAGAATTACTTGATGTCGTTTATGAGTAATGCTATGTTTTACTTATATTTATAGCGGTATTTTATTGCAGATTTCAGAAGAAGCAGATGAAGTTGCTGGAATTAAAACACCATTAACTACTTCACAATTTGTTGAATGGAGTTGTGCTCAATTTGCTCAGCCTGTTAGTTTAGAAATTGAAACTGAATCAATGAATGACATGGAAAGTAGAGCACATTATGAAAGAGAATGGCGGTAAGAATTCTTAATGTAATTACTTACTATAGTATCATTGCAAAGAGAAAAACTAACTTGCAGTTTTCAATATTTAGATACTTAAGAAATAAGAAACAAAGATGTGATGCAAGAGAAGAACAATTACGTGCAGTACAAAGTAGGGTAGAATCACAAGTATTTCACACAAGATGTTCACATTCTCCAGAAGTTTTAACATTTCATCCTTTTGAACCTCATTTGGCTGTAGCATTGAAAGATTACTTTGGGTATTTGTTTTAATATAGTCTAATTTCGTTACTATCATATGAGACATGATATTACTTAATAAATTATTTATTTACAGGGTATGGGATTGTCAGACCGGTACAAAGTTAACTTATTGTGCAAGTCATGGAAATAAAATGTCTCGTATTACAGCGCTGGAGTTTATTAATGCTCACGATATAACGTTATTAATGGCTGGATCTGATGATGGTTCGGTTAGAGTGTGGAAAAATTATAGTAGTATGTTAAATCGCGATCCAGTTTTACTTACTGCTTGGCAAGCAATGGCTGATATACAACCTGCAACAAAAGCAACTACCGGTATGTATATTCTAGAATATCAATGTATTTATTGCAACTATGTACATTAATTAAAATTGTTTGTAGCAACAGCTGGATTAGTTACTAAGTGGGAGCAAAGATCCCTTACATTGGCTGTAACAGGTGATGTTCGTATTGTCAGACTTTGGGATGCAGAGACTGAATTAAAGAAACAAGATATACCAACAGGTGCTGATTGTTGTGCTACATGCGTTGACGTCGATGGTATAGGTTAGTTTCTTACATACTTTATATTAATTTAATTGCAGAATTAGATATACATGTAAAAGGCGTAAAATATGATAGAAGTAAACATTATTTTATTTAATTACACATAGGTGCCATGATGGCAGTAGGTTGTGGAGATGGTTCAGTTCGTTTATTTGATAGAAGATTGCCCCCTTTAGAATCAAGAGTTATGATTTGGAGAGAGCATACAGCATGGGTGCTAGGCACATCTTTGAGAAAATGTGAAAGATCTGCGCCGCAACTGTTCACTGGATCATCTTCAGGAGATATTAGAATATTTGATCTTAGAAAAAATTCTTCTGTGAGCACTGTACAGATAACACAAGGTATTACAGCATTGGCAGCACATGAAATGGCTGATATTTTTGCATGGTAAGTTTAGGATATTATTGACCGGAATCATAGTAAAATTATACAGGTTATTTCAGATCTGTTTATGCATATTCTTTTCAGTGGATCAACAAATCACTGTATAAGTGTATATAACACTATGGGTCAACACCTAAACACAATAAAATTTCATGAAGGATTTATGGCCACTCGTATTAGTCCAGTAAGTTGTCTAAGTTTTCATCCCTATCGTGTGATTCTAGCAGCTGGTTGTGTAGACAATACTATCACAGCATATGCATCTGAATCACGCAGATGACTAATAGAGATGGAATTGTTGTAAAATTATTTTTACAAATGTAAATCAATGGTACTTGATACTCTTAACACTAATAGTCAGTGAAAACAAATGTTAGGGGCGTAATATTGGACTTTATTAGGAAAATTAGAAGGTGCATTCTTATTTTTCACTTATTTACGATTTTCTACTGCGTTTTTTTGTATCTACAAACGCCTTTCTTTGGAATTAATTTATGTGGAGAAACTAACAATAATTCTTGTGATTACAAAACCTGTGAAGCAACTAAAGTCTTTTGGGACGACCAAAGAGAAGATAATACAAGCTACATGTGCAAGGGCAATGTAATATTTTGAAACGCAGTTGAAAAAAATTTGATGTTCTTACGAATAATGATGCATAATATATGCGTATGTGATGCAACGAAAAAGATTTGAATGTATGTATGAATGTGTTTAATATTTAATAAAGCTTGTAACATTCGCAAGGAAATAACCTTGATTATTGTGCCATGCAAAATTAGCTCCAATTAGATTTATGAATAATGTTTCATATAAATTTAGGTAATAGAAGATTCAATTGTTTTTCACATCTTAATAATTCCATCCCTTAATTCTCTTTTTATCTCTTAATATTTTTACAAAATTTTAGTCTTGGAGCTAGAATTTATTTAAATAATTTAACTACATTTAGTTTATGACTAGTATCAATAATAATAAAGATCAATAATAAAGAATAAATATAGTAAAGATTAAAAGGACCGAAATAAATTACTTAAAATGGCAACTGTATGAAACAATGTTTCTGTATTAATGAAAAATTTTTTGTAAATTTGCTTTATGTATATGTTTTTATTTATAACTCTCATTATGAAACTTTTCGTTGCAATTTTAAAGAAAAAGAATTGTTTTTGTAAATATTATGTATCATATATTTATCAACAACAATATTATTTGTTAAACGGTATTAATGTTGCGTTTAAGTAATAATGGTTTATAAGCGTCTCTTTGTAACTTGTGAAAATACCTCTCATCATGTTAAAAACTTAAAATGTTTGTAAGGAAATGCCTTCTCAGTGACAAATGATTTAAATAATTATGCAAATATATATAATTTGTATTTGACTAATTAAGCCACTATACTATTTGGAAAGTATTTTATGAATATTTATACGTTGTATGTGTGTGTATTTTATATTGCTATTGTAACCCTTCATTGCTACCGTTATTGTTTATGGATATTATAATCGTTTTGAAAGAATGTCACATCGGTATGTATCAAGAAGAAGCAATCTGATTTCATATGTTTAGTAATATGAGTATAATCTAAATTGCATAAATGATAAGGAAGAGCAAGAAAAAGTCAGGTAATAAATTCGCGAATAAAAATGTACATAAGTATAGAATATCAAGTGTAATGTTCGAAAAACCGCAATGTTAAAAATATAGATTTATTTCCTCGTATTATATATACAATAATTTTGTTAGTAATATTGAGCATTCAGAAACGCGATAAGAGATGTGGATTGCTATCCTTTAAATATATGTATAAAATAAGGATCTCTGATGTAGTTGCATATATAAGATGTTTCAAAAATTGAGTGCATTCATACTCACGTATAAATGTAAAAGAGTAAATTTTTACTTAATAACGGAGTACATAACAAATAATGTTTATTTGTGGCATAGAACCCTTTGTGCGTGTATATAAAATTTATATATAGATTAAAAACACGCTTTGTGTTTGGAGAAAGAGATATTTATTTAAATGGAAAAGATAAGATATTTTAATCGTGAAATTGATGTAACATTTCACAATCAATTTGTGACATGTGTTTCTGCCAATACATTGGTTATTTTGATTGTAAATTTCCGGGACACATTATATAACCGGGGTTGATGGAAATTTTAATGGAGACATCTAAATGGTACTTACTCGTTAAATTCAGCATTAATTGTTATATAAACGCTTAGAATTATTTCTGTATATATTATTATATATACGATGCACCGTCATATTGCTATCGTTAACGATAACTATCGGAAACGTGAAACATTAGGAGAATAATTCACGACGGGGCGAATATGATGTATTATTTTGCGCTGTAGCCGTTATTATACATATATGATCGCCTTGTAACAAATATAATATAATTATGTTATTTCAGTGTAAGATTAATTTGCACAATTGTTTATTTACTAACGTAAATGTTAGGTAATGGCGGAAGGTACGTAATAGATAATATCTTAAAAATTTTTATTACTAATTATGAATAATAATTATATTATTAATCGTATTATTATTATATTTTAGAGAATTATTAAAATATTTAAATTAATCGTGTGATTTATTTTTAAATAGATATGTTACAGTAATAAGTGATAACTGTCATAACATAAATAAAATGTAACTATTATTACAGAATAAAAGATGAATTAACATGATTATATATATAGCAATACGTATTGACTAATATGGTACAAATTGGTTGATTAGTCTTGTAACTGTTATTGACTGGTTTATGTCGGAAGGAGAAACCTACATATATACATTGTAAATATGTATATATGAACTTAGTTACTTACTAATATTCAGATCATCGACATTCTTAGATTTGCAGTGTCACTTTGCAAATGTAAGTGTAAATCAGAGTGAAGGAATGGGTCATCAAAGTGTAACTAACGGTTTGTATATTTTAACTGGTTCTGTTAACAATAGAATCTCACCATATCACAATCTCGTTGATTATAGTCGCAACAAATTATTGTTTGAATATAGTATTTAAATGTCAACCAATGAAACAGGTGTTATAATGTTATTTCTAGGATAGCTTAGAGATAGATCTATTACTGGATTGCTGCAAATCATTACGATTCGTCAATTCCGTTCGAGAGTACTAAATTTCAAATTTCTTATTTCCGCAGTTATTAAAAACGTGCCTTTCGAAAAAATAATTGAAATAGGAATACGATTATACAACATTTGCTTATTTTCATAATACAATTTTTATTATAATCATTACATATATATAGTAGATGTAAAAAACAAATTCTGTATTTTTGGTTTTATGGTTTATAGCTTTAATGCAAGTTCAAATATTTTCCCGCCTCTTAGCGTGTATACAGCGCCGACGTTTAGTTTTTAAAATAACTTTTCGTTTAGCATTCTGATTAGAAAATAGTCGTAGATACAACGTGTAAGATGTTGATGAAGTACATATTTAATATTACATTTCATTTGCGTTTTAGCTTAATAGCAACGTTGCTAAAGTTGCTGGAACGAATTCTGTGCTTACAATTAGTGTAGGAAATGATACAATTCTATCAAAGGAGATTTTAACTTTAAATGTAGCTATGTTCCAACTATAAGAATGACTAAGAAGCTTAGAACGAAAAACAATAAGGAATACAGAATAAAAATGAACAAAAAATAGAAAGAGGAAGTGACTGACATCAAGAGAAGGTATTTCAATGATTAAAATATTTCTAATGTAAATATAGAAGAAACCATTTCAAAAGTATTTTTCTATATAAATGATATATTTTAAATAATATGAAATTAAAACTACATACTGAATTCTTTTCCATAGCTAATATACATATTTAAATACAGCTTTTGATCAGTATCTTTATTAAATTCATTAAATTTGAATTTTTAAATAAAATTAAATCCATGTCTGGTGATTTGAATGAAGGCTACTATAAATATGTAGCTTGTCGCGAAACAAACGCCTGGAAGATGTGCATCTAGGTATCTACGGTTTGTTTTATGACGGAGCGGAAGAAGAAGAGAGGTATTAAGGCAGGCGCTTCCTTTAAACAATATTTACTCTTACTTCCATATTTTTCTTTAATCTTATCTTCTTTCACTTTACAGAATGTCCCGACTATTTCAACGACCTGTTATACGTATTAGCAACCAGTGTTACTAGATAAAAATAGGTTCGGGTACTGACCTCATTTCATGATATTCGGGAACAAGGATAAAGTAGTTTTCTCCGTGCACTTTCCTGTTATCCTGGAAGTTTAAACGCATTATTAATATTGTAAGTATATATTTTTTTGCTGAAATTACTATTGTAGAATATAGTGTTTTAAATTGTTACTGGGTTATAAATGAAACCATATACAAAATATATTGTATAATAACCTGAATAACTGTGTAAACTAACGAGGATTATGTTTAGTAAATTCGGTTAAATTTTAAGATTAAGTAGAAATTTTTAAGGGAATTCACAATTATGCTCTATTTTGATAAGAAGCTGCCATAATTTATGATTTATTTCCTTGTAAATGGCCTGTTGACGGCCAATTTCAAATTTTGTAAAAAAGAGTTAACATAGTAGATATAAAATTATTAAAAAGTAGATATAAAATTATTTTTTAATGTAATGAAATAAAAATTTATATATTTCTGATATTGAAAATTAAAAAGGATTTTTATATCTTCAGAATTAATAGAATAAAATAAAGAAAGATTTTTTTTTAATATTTTATTCGGCTGTGGATTCCTTTAACTCGTTACAACGTCCGTGTACTTTCCCTTTTTCTGTTTCTATACATTTGACGAAAGTTTCAATTTCGAAAGCTGCTAATGAGATTTACGATTTAGAAATTTCAATTCGATGGCAATCCATCTTTGGAAATTCTTTGTATTCCATTCGGATATTATTTGTCTTCCATTTTCCATATCCTCGCAGATCCTCCCAGATTTTTGTGTAAATTGCCTGTCAGTATTATCAAATAATGCCAGAAGCGTTATAGATCGATAACTTTGACATCATCCTTACTCGTACTACTTATTTCATTTTCCTAAAAAATTATTCTGTTAAGATATCCTATATATATATCTTCTTCACAAACGTAAAATTTCAATTAAAATTACTATATCTTTTTAAAACAATTTTATTTTTAATTTTCTCAAATTAATCATTTAGATTAATTTAGAACTAAAATACAATAAACTAAAATGTTTGTTAGTATTAAGTTTTTACTGACTACTTACATCAACTCTGAAACTAAAAGATATTGAAAGATCTATTACATTATATTTACTATTATAAACATTTAGCAATATTGAATTGTATTTAGTGGCAACAAAAAGTATTTGTTCAACACTGTATTTATTATAACATTTACATATTAATTAATTAAGTCCAAGCACATTAAGTTTTATATCATTTGATAGTATTTTGATATAACTGCAAAAACTTGGTACTATGAAAATAAAATGTGAAAATAAAACCTGATCAACATTTTTTGTGACCACTATATATACAATTTCTTCCATTTACCATACATCTAAATCCATTCTCTAGAAATTCTTTCAATGTCATCCCCATAAACATTGTATACACTTCTATTGACTATTGTCGTACCAATAAAAAAAAGTGTATATATAATTACTTATGTATGACGTTTGATTACTTATGATGGAATCGTAAGAGGCAACGATTATCCGCTAAGACGAAATAACATAATTGTAAAGGTGAACGTTCATTCATGTTTCATGGAGGAGACTTGTGTTTTATGTTTGTTTCATGTTACAATGAGCACCCATTATTAAACTACGGACTGTGATTCAGGCCGGGGTAGGCACGTGCGATGTATGCGCGGACGAGACAGCGGTGCGAGGCGCAAAGCGCAGCCGCAGTCGTCGCTCGGATCTCGATCGGGCCGGTTGCGTACTGTGTTTGTAGGTAGATTCGCGAGCTACCAACAAGCGTCGTTTAGTCCATTCCGAGCCGTGCAATCGAGATGGTCTTTTTCCTAGTTTTTCTATATGACCACGCGTAAGCATTGCTCTTCTGCGTGTGTTTGTTTTGCTCCTAACATTTATCTATCTCGCGACCGTGTAACGACATTTAAGTAACGATCGTTCGTTCGTTCGTTCGTTCGTTCTTCCTTTTAAGACTTTAAGAAAGTGAGACAGAGAGACAACGAGATAAAAAGAGTACTATAATTCAAATCATCATGGATCGATCGTCGAAAATGATTCTACGAAAGATCATTATAGATTTCGTGTGCTTGCTTATTGGTAAGTGGATCAACGTATTCATGCGTACGTATAGATGCGCGAACGAATAGTCCGAATATTTCCGTGATTCGTAGCACGAGTGGTAAACGACTGGCTTGGAGAGATTCCTTTGTATCCGCGCCAGAAGAGTACGATGAACGATGATTACGTTATATCGGGCGGCTGTCAGATTGACAGTCGAGGCGCCGCATGCGGCCTGTTTGATCTCTCAGCGAACTAACCTTTAAATTGGCAGGTGCTTACCTCGTACGGAATTAAGAATCTATTGCAATGTAGGGTAAAGTAGGGTTATTTCAGTGAGAAAGATACTTGAGTCAAGCTAAGTAATTTAACTTGTAATTCGTGAAATTTGCTTATGAATAGTTTTTGACTGATCTATGTTTGAAAACAGACTCGTTCAACTTGCTATTAGTGGCGTAATAGACAATCAAATATGTAGATCGTATACATCGTATACATTGAGAGAGCTCGACGGCCATGGTTCTCTACGAGGATATAATTTTTACTCGTCAAATGGAATGAAGTTTGTCCAACTAAGATCGTTAGTTGTGATTATAATTCAGCAACGTGTATTACTTTATTTCTAGAAATTAGTTTCCTATTTATTCTATTATTTCTTATATAATACCTCCTGACTTGCATAACTTCACCATTATTCGAATTATATTCCATATTCCATATTCTTTCACTCTGAATCTAGAGTATGTAGACGATATTTTCTCATTCTTTCGTAATATACAACAAGCCTGACTATTATATACAAAGATTATATACTAAATAACTCGTATACGAAATCGTACGTTGTACGTTACTATAAACCTATAAACAATGTATTGTCATTACTAGACTACTGATGATTATAAAAATCTATATTTTTATAAATATAATTAAGAAACTAGAAGTTGGGTAAAAAATTGTTTTATCTGTTAGATGTTGTAAAGATTTCTATATAGATTACTATACGGTGCACGATCTTCAATTGTATTCACAAAAATATGAATTTGCAGAACTATCCATAATCTAGTCATTACCCTATTAAACTTTCATCTAGTACCATTAGTACGATTATAATGTCGTGAAGAAATATATACTATTATAAATATACGAGTCGCTTTCTAGCTCAGTGTGTACGTTGTGCGTGTCTGAAGGTTATTGTTTAGGTAGGCGAGCTTCCAATGCTATATGGTACATACCAATTCGAGATTCGAGTATTCTAATGCACGAACGACGAATCGATCGTCTGCTACATTCTCCTAACGTAATTTAGGCGAACCTAAACAAACGTACAACGTGCGTTCGATGCCGCGGCATCGATAATGCTTTTTCAAGCGTTCGAACGTTTTCCGGTTTGCACTTCTTTTTCCTTTGATCCCTTAGGTATGTTTTTATTGCGTTATCTGCATGCGTACGTGTCTTCCAAACAAATTCTTTAGTTTGTTGCTGATTTCTTTAGTTCGTTGAGTTTGCAACGTTGAATTGTGGAAAGGTTATGAAAAATTGTTTAGATTATCTTGGTAAACACAGGAGAATAGTAACACCCTTTAGCTCGATCGATTTAATCTGAGAAGTGGTGACACGGTTTCGTTTAACGGGTTATCTGGTACACTGCAGTTATTCGATATTCTTTCTATTTCATAAAAATTTGATATCTAAGGCAATCCAATAAACTTTTTAAACCAGAAACTTCTTCCTTATTAGACCGTCTTTGTCGCAATATATTCCATCAATATTAATGTAAAATTTAAATAAGGTTTATTAATTTATGGAAAGACAAAGTTATGAGGATTGCTCAAAATAAGAAAGAGCATTGAAACAAATTGTAGAAAATTGTAAAAGTATTCGAAATATTTCTTTGTTTCTTATCTATAATATAATATAAATATGATGAGATGTACAAAATTAGGAATCAGAATTAAAACAAAATGAAGAGTGGAAGATTTCGATTTATTTAAAATAATTTCAGGTGTTGGTCTTTTGTGATTTATATTTTGTAATTCGTGGTTGCAGAATAATATATTTATTTTGAGTTGGGCGATTTTTTCGAAGGTCTCATTTGAAATTCTGTTCTTCTCGAATCTGTCTCGGTGTCGCAATATCGTCTGTAGAATACAAAAATAAGCTGAAACTCGAGAAAAAATATCTTCAGACGTTTCTTCGCTAGAAAATCTTTATTCATTCGCAATATAAAATTCAATAATAAAAAGATAGAATAAAAGTTTATCATATCGACGATTAAGTAACTTTTTCCTAGTTTATAACCTAATTTAAAGTATTTATATGCAAATTAGATTATTATGGAATACATTTGAAGGGAACTAAAGTTGGAATAGAAAGTTGATTGTCCTTTTAGATATTTATTTTTCATGTTGGTGTAATCATTTGTCAGAAACGAAATTTATTACCGAAAACCAGATTTATTGCTGTTTCTGGTTCACCCGCCATCATCTATGGTCATTCGAAGCAATGCCGCGTCGCGTCGTTGAGACCGAAGAATATTTACGACGTACAAAGAAAAGAAAGAGACAAAACAGAAAAAGATACTGACTGTGTTAAAACGTGCGAATCCAACTTCGTAGGTGAATTGGACACGTAAGAATAAAAATATATTGTGTGTTATCCAATATTTCGATATTTTAAAGTTATGAACTCATAGTATTATACACGTACAGTCGTCCTATCTGTAAGAAAAAAAAAATGTAAGATTCATAAATCTGAGTTGCGATGTAAGTTTCTAAATTTTATTCTGTTACCGAGTTTCTGACGTGTAAAAAGAATCGGTGATAGACAGAACAGATGATATACAAGAGCGTTATTTTTTAGATTTCGATGAAACTTTGTAGGTTAGATAGAGGAACGAAAAATACTTGACCCATGCGTACGCAGGTGTTACATATACAATAAAACTGACGAGAACTGACGATTGTCACGAATTCAAAAGGTTTTCACACGTTCTAGCATTTTTACTATATGAATTTCTGCTATAGTTACATCTGTTTTATACCTTAGAAAGAGATAGAATAGTTAATAGAATAGTATTATCTTTGACATTTTGGTATGATAAAATAGCGAAGGATTCATTCAAACGAACGAGTCAGAAAATAATTTCTTTGTTCTTAAAATTTCCTAAATCTTTACAGCATCAGATATAAAAAACTACGTATTTTCAACTTTTTATATGAAATGAATATTAATAATTACTTATACTATTGAAGATGTGAAATTTATATTATATTGGTAACTTAACCTAATCTCCCTGGTTAGGTTAAACCACATACCTTCGTATTCATTTCTTTTTCTTCTTTTTCCGTGTCTTAGATTACGTTTGTAGCAGATACATGTTACGTTTATTATTAAAATTAATAATTAAAATTAAATATATAGTTTCTCTTATAAGTGTATGCATTTCGATTTTCAGACGTTTCGTTCGTTAAAACGACATTACCTCAATACATAGATTCATATGTATATAGTTTAATATAAGTTGTAATAGTGTACATAATTCACTTCTGAAATTAAGTTCACGTTTTTGGAAGGCATGGTTCACAAAAGTCACGAGTAAAAGAGAAGAGACGAAGTATTATGTACCTCTCATTGGACAAAGAGAAACGCGACCGTCCACTGGCCACAGATGAAAACCAGATAATACAAAAATGAGTATTATTCATGGCGGGAAGTAGGCCGAGGGCATTTTCGTCTCGAAAGTTGCTCGCAGGTGTCTATTTGTTCCACCTTTGTTTGCGCGTTTGTCTTCCAATTCAATGCGTGAATAAGCTTGAATCGTGCAGGTTGCCTCATTTTTCTTCTTCTTCTCTCTTTCATTAAAATCTATATTTTAATGTATCGCGACCAATGATTGTTGTTAATGAATCGATATGAACGACAGCGATAGGCGAGTTACGATAGCCGCGGCAAATTTGAAATCATATTAAGAACAATAGCGAATCTCTGTTTTAATTAGATACATAATTGTTTAATTGTGGTTTCCTTTGTTTAACACTGAATCTGCTAGGGTAGTTGAAAGGACCAATTTGTAATTTCTCATGACAATTTTGTTGATTTATATAAGTTTTACAACATTCGTATTATCTGCATCTTTAAGATTTTTCTCAATTATCCATTTTCCACAATGACTGGAATACGTATAACTCAGTGATTGAAATATTTATTGGATACTATATAGTAATAGTTTATTGGATATTGTAATAACATAATATATTCTGTAGTGTGTAGGCTGTTATTATATTATTAAATATATTGGAGTATATGCTCTGGGAGGTAGGATGTTGATTTAAGATAGCCGTGTGTTTTAAAATTAAAATAATTGGTACGCGTGTAATGTATGTATAACGATGGAAATAGGCGGAGGCAGTATGTGATTATGTATTTATGTTGTTGCTTGTGACGAGGGAGGAAGGTAGTCGATAAATGAAAATGAAAAGAGTATTTTCTTAAATCCATTATGGAAGAAGTTACCGGGCCAATAAGTTAGTAATATATTAAAGAAAATGAGAGTTAAAAAGTATACGCATATATAATACACGGTCTACAGAAATGTTATCGTTTAACTCATAACGATATGTTAACAATTTCATAAATTTTCAATAAATTTTCAGTGACACGTTGATATTGCTTCGATGAAAGTAATTTAAAATAAAAGCCAGTCTCAACGGATTGTTCATTGTTCTTCGAAAAGAACTGTAAGTAGAACAAGAATTAGCATGGTCTAATAGTAGCGTATGGTCTTTGATGACTTTGTAAATAAATGATGTCGATGTGCGAACTGTCTGGCTGATGTCTGAATAAATATCGTGTTATAATCGATGTGGGTCGATAAATACACGTCTAAAAAAATTTCATATTCTTGCCTCGCTAGAATGTAAAATCTAGATATAATAAAATCGAATGAAAATCAAAATTAGAATCTAAATATAGAGAGGAAGTTTAAAGGGAAAGACATTGTCAATTTAATTAATTTTAAAATTTACAACTTTGAACTTGAG